GATGCAGCTTATCAAAGAAGGCAAGACACAACCATTTTGGGTCCAGGAGAGAATTGTTTACACAAAAGGGAATAGAGTTTATGTTCCTCGGGTGGATAATTTGAGGCGTGAACTCTTAACAGAGTATCACGATTCCCTTTAGGTTGGACATCCAGGTATTCACAGAACTTTGGCTCTCGTGGAGAGGACCTTCTACTGGCCGAAGATGAGGACTGATGTGAAGGAATATGTTCGAATGTGCCTCACTTGCCAACAAGACAAGGTGGAGCAGCGGAAGCCAGTGGGACTTTTTGAGCCGTTGCCTGTACCAGAAAGGCCGTGGGAGAGCATTTCCTTGGACTTCATATTAAGCTTGTCGATAGTAGGGGAACTCGGATCGATACTCGTGGTGGTCGATCGATTTTCAAAGTATGCAACTTTTATTGCTGCACCCCTACACTGTTCAACAGAGGAGGCGGCCAAGTTGATGATGAAGAATATGGTGAAGTACTAGAGAGTCCCACACAATATCATCAGTGATCGAGACGCTTGGTTTCTGGGACGATTCTGGATCGAGCTATTCAAATTGTTGAGGTCTAAGTTATACTTCTCTACAAGCCTCCACTCTAAGATGGATGGCCAAATTGAAAGGATAAACTCGCTCCTTGAGCAATATCTTCGGCACTACGTGAGTGCCAACCAACGAGATTGGGTGAAGCTGTTTGACATACCTCAATTCTCCTACAACTTGCAGCGGAGCTCTACGTCCAACAAGAGCCCCTTCGAGATCATTACAGGACAACAACCGTCAACTCCTCACACCTTAGCTATTGGATATACTGGGAGTAGTCCGTCAGCATATCACTTTGCAAAAATAATGGCATCGAAATACAGATATTGCGCAGGCTTACTTGGAGAAGGCAGCCAAAAAGATGAAGAGGTGGGCAGACTTGGGAAGTCGACCGTAGGAATTCATAGTCGGTGATTTGGTGTTGGTAAAGCTTCAACCAGCATCACTCCAATTCTTTAGGAACAAAGTACACAAAGGATTGGTGCGCAAGTATGAAAGACCCTTTCCAATTATCAGTAGGGTGGGCAACATTTCTTACAAGTTGTGGCTGTCAGCAAAATTCACAATGTTTTTCATGCCAGCAACTTGAAAGCCTACCATTCAGATCCACAAGATGCTTCATGAAGTGTT